TTCTGACGGAGGAGGAGGGGGCGCAATGGCCCCGCAGGTCACGGCCAAATCGAAGACGCGACCGGCGAGATCCCAGGCGCCCGCCGCAACGATCCGGCGCATGGCTTCTGAGAAGAAGGAGTCTGAAGACGGGTAAGGCAAGTAGGACGAGGAAGAGGACGGGACGGAGGACGGAAGAGGAGGCGGCAGGGAGGGCGGGGTGTCCGGCGTGGTGGAGGAGGAGGGCAGCCGGGCTTCGATCGTGTTGAAGAGTTCTTGGACCTGGGGCCATTGGCCCGTCCTGGTCAAGATCCGGAGGACGATGCCGTAGGTGATCCAATTGGGCTCCACACCGGCCTCCGCCTGCATCCGGTGGAAGAGTCCCAGTGCTTTCGTCTCCGCCCCGTGCTCTTCGCAGACTTGCATGGCCAAATTGAAGGTGATCGGGTCCAAGGGCAAGCGGGGCTGGAGCGCCAACGTCTCTTCCACGTAGGCCAAGGCGGTCTCCACCAGACCACAGGCTCCACACGCCTTGATCCCCACTGTCCACGCGTACACGTCCGGCTGGAGCCCTGCTGCCCGCATTTCTTGGAAAGTCTGGATGGCCCGCTGGCACTCCCCGGCCTCCACCCACGCGTTCATCACGGTCGTGTACGTCCTTACCTCGGCGACCAGCCCCGCCGCTTGCATCTGTTGGAAGAGCACCCAAGCCATGTCCGGCTGGTGGCCCTCCGCGCAGGCCTTGAGGACTACATTGTAGGTGGGCACGTCCCAGGGGATCCCGTCCTCCCGCATCCGGTCGAATATTTTCAGGGCCCGCCTGGCTTCCCCCCCTTCGATGCAGGCGTTCATGGCGGTCCGGTAACTGACCGCGTCCGGGTCCACACGCTGCGCCCGCATGCTGTTGAGGAGCATCACGGCCTCCCGCCACCGCCGGCCCACGACGCAGGCCTTGAGGGCGGTGTTGTAGCTCACCAGGTTGGGCGAGACGTGGTAATGCCCGGGCATGCGCTGGAGGAAGGAGAGGGCTTCGTCCCACCGGCCGCAGACGGCGAAGGCGTTCAAGAGGGTGTTACAAGAGACCACGTCGAACTCGACCTGAGTGCTTTGCATCCGCCGTTTCAGCGCCAAGGCCCGGGGAAGGTCCTTGGCTTTGCTGCAGGCCTCCATTACCACGTTGTAAATGAAAGTGGTGGGCCGGAACCCCATGCTCTCCATCCGGGATAGCGTCTGAATCGCCTCCTCCGTCCGCCCTGCCACGGCGCAGGCTTGCACCGCCTGCTCGTAGAAGCCGACCGAGAGCCACGAGTGCGTGGCCCCATTGCCACCACTGGGGGTCTTCCTGCCGCGCCCTTTTCCTCCCATTTCACTCCCGCCACCTTTCCCTGCCCCTTCCAGGTCGGTTCTTGGCTTGACCTCCCTCCCGTCCTCCCGCTCGCCCTGCCCCAAGACCCGGAGCAAGTGCAAGGCGCTCCGCCAGCGCCCGTTCTCGACGAAACCCGCCATCAAATCCTGGAAAAACCCTTGGTTGGCCACCCCCGCCCCTCCTTCCCGCCCAACCTCCCTCCCACCTTCGCCTTCCCAGGGCAAGGCCTCCATCATCGCGTCCACCCGTTCCCAATCCCGGAGGTCCAAGGCGGCGCTCATGGCCAAGGCCGACGCTTCTTTGTTGGGGACGACACCTGCGTGCGTCATCTCCTCCCACAGGCCTAGGGCCCGAGATTTCTCCCCGGCCTCCAAGCATGCCCGCATGGCGATGGCGTAGGACGCGGCATCTGGTAATTGGCCTTCCCGGCGCATTTCGATCAACAGGTACCCGGCGGTTTTCCATTCCCCCGCTTTCGCGCAAATTTTGATGACCATCTTGGTGAAAAGCTGTGGGAGGGGGGGGGG